TTGATTCATCACAGGTGGCTTTAAGAGCCCGGTAGGTCTTATTATGCTTCAGAAAGGCGCTGTGAAAGAAAGCCAGGACAAAAGTTTCATGGGTTAGGTTTGGATTCATTCTGACATTCAGGCTCACGTTCAGGCATATTTTACTGAATTCAGCTGCAATTCAAAGAGAAGTTAGCCTTCACAGAACATCACATATTTATGCTGTATTTCTAAGGAGAATCAATTCAGAATGTTAATATGATTATTCTCACTATCAGTAAATGTTTCTTTAACATCATGTCCAGGATTAAAGAACTGACGAGGTTTTAAGGTTTTAATGTTATGTCCAATAACCGTTAGTCAATATTAAAATGTAAAAATGAAACACTAAAAACTAAAAAGAGGCATTTTAAATGCTACAACCGAATTAAGGCATCACACCATTATAATATACAATATGAAAAAATTGATATTTTGAGATTTGCTAAAGATTGCATGAAACAATTATAATTAATGATTATTCATAAATTAAATAATAATGATTAAATTAATAATGAGTTATTTTGAATATTATTAATAATAATTATTAAATTAATAGTAATTATTAAATGATTATTATTATTTTCATCATCATCACAGCTGGGTTTAAGATCAATGTTCCCTCTAATTTTTTTTTCTTGGTGAGCAAAACTTTTCTCTATTGGGCGGACATTTCGGGCACCTGAGCAAAAACATTCTTTATACCAGACCTGTACAGCGCGCACACAAAAAAGTGGGTAACTTTTAACTTTAATGTGCTATTTATATTTGATTTGACCCTTGATGTAACTAAATTATGTACATTTTAAGTTACCTGAGACAGTTTTTTTACAGTATAACACACTGCCGTTCAAAAGTTTGGGATCAATACATTTTTTTTAAAGAAGTGTCTTATGCTCATCAAGGCTGTAGCCTATCTATTTGATACAAAAATACTGAATATTATTTCACAAAATAATGTTGTGAAATATTATTTCTATTTAAAATAAACGTTTTCTATTTTAATATACTTTAAAATATAATTAATTCCTGTGACGTAGTGTGCAATATACACTATTCAAAAGTTTGGGGTCAGAATACTTTAAAAAAGTTTAAAGAAAGTTAAATAAACTTTATTCAGCAAGGATGTGTTAAATGGATAAAATTGATAGTAAAGACTTTTATTGTTAGAAAAGATTTCTATTTTGAATAAATGCTGTTCTTTTTAACTTTTTATTAATCAAAGAATCAAAGAAAAAAGTAAGACAGGTTCCAAAAAAATATGAAGCAGCACAACAGTTTCACTGCTGTAAAACAGCATATTAGATCAGCAACACTGATAATAATTCAGCATATCAGAATGATTTCTGAAGGATCATGGGACACTGAAGACTGGAGTAATGATGCTGAAAATTCAGCTTTGCATCACAGGAATAAATTATATTTTAAAGTATAGGTATTAAAATAGAAAACCGATATTAGAAATTGCAATAATATTTCACAATATCACTGTTTTTTTTCTCTATTTTTGAAATAAATACAGCCTTGATGAGGAAGAGACTCCATTAAAAAAACAAGGTCAATTATTTATTAGGTTTATAATATAGGCCTAACATAATATAGTATAATATAATATAATATAATATAAAAAAACAAACTATTTAAACTGATAGAATAGAATAGAAAACAAACTGAAGCAAAACTTAAGCTGAGATCTGTAAGTTAAATGTAAAAAAATAACGTGAACATATGAATTCTTCTATAGCTGTCTAAACATCCCTATGAAGTAGTTTGCACAATACACCTGTGTGTGCCTGTAAATGTCTCACAGTTTTGTTACCGTTCTGTGCCCATCCTCCGCTATTTCCTGCACTTAATCAAGCCACTTTTCTTTCAATACATGATCACGTTTATTTCACATGTCATTGCATTTGCGTTGGTTCTCATGTTGAGCGCACTGCAAGTATTCGGTTTCTACAGCGACTCATCAGTGTTGCCAACTTCTTTCAATGGAAAGTAGCTAAACCTCGCCTGAGAAAGTCACTAAATGTCGCTAGATGACGTCATACGCTAATTAGCATGTTATTGACGTCAGTGCGTTGTATTGTCTTGCCTCCCTGTGCTCACGTACTGAATTTTAATGCAGCCAAATTCTCAATAAAACTGTTTTTATTAATATATTTGACTGTTTCTGTAGTCAGACAACGGAATGAATATTATAGTGACTGAAATACGGTCCATTAAGACTACATAACCAGCTTTCAAAGATTAATCTGCACTAAAATCCTAATCGCGACATTGTCTAATGAAATCAAATACACATACGATTAAGACGATGGCTGTGCTGTGATTTCGGCTATACTTGCATGTAAAATAGAGTTAGAAGCAACAGAATATCTTTTTTTAACTGAAAGTGCTGCTCCTCTCTGCGCTCGCTGAACAGAGCAGACGCAGAGAGAGAGAGGTGTGTGCGCTGGGAAAGCAAGACCTCACGCTCGTGCGGCAGTACCGGAGAGTCTCAGAGACTAACGAAGCCAGAGCTTTCCCTATCCGATCTTGTTTTCCCCTCGTCTCAAGAAATATCTGCATCCACACGAAACCGACACAAAACGATGTATTATACATGCCAGACCAGTATGTGGCGCTGTAATTCTGCCACAGAGATACACTAAAAACGGAGAAGACTATGGCTGTGTCCGAAATCGCCCCCTATACCCTTAAATAGGGCAGTAAAATAGATTTAGAAGCAACAGAATATCTTTTTTTTTTAACTGAAAGTGCTGCTCCTCTCTGCGCTCGCTGAACAGAGCAGACGCAGAGAGAGAGAGGTGTGTGCGCTGGGAAAGCAAGACCTCACGCTCGTGCGGCAGTACCGGAGAGTCTCAGAGACTAACGAAGCCAGAGCTTTCCCTATCCGATCTTGTTTTCCCCTCGTCTCAAGAAATATCTGCATCCACACGAAACCGACACAAAACGAGGTATTATACATGCCAGACCAGATTCTGTCGGCCCCTTAAGTGCGTCGGCCCACCGGGAAAATGCCCGGTATGCCCGATTACCAATCCAGCCCTGGACACCACTAAAAATGGCTGTTCCCTCAAATAGTGCCCTATTTAATGGTATAGGGGGCGATTTCGGGCACAGCGTTGGACTATGCGCATAAACCTTTGCGCGCGGTATACAAACGAACATGGAACAATACATTTATT